TTATTATATATATTTGTTATTAATTTACATAAAGAAATAAATATTAACTTAAATTTTATTAACTGTCTAATTAAATCATTTTATATATTATTATTGTTAAAAATAAAATTTACTTTCATAATTTTTTTATAGAAATTAATGATGAAAATATATAATAAATACTTCATTAATCTTAAAAGAACCCTTACTGGATTAGTTAACAAAACAAAACAAACCTAAAAGATAATATTTTTAAACACTATAACCATCTATTTAAGAAAAATAAAGAAAAAATTTATCTAGCTTAGCAATTTTATGTGCGACGGTAACCTCACTCTAAATGGATGCCAACTTTACATTTTTTTTTTACCATTAAAGTAATTAATTTGTATCTTTAAATAAAAAAGTTAATAAAATTTATATTTTTCTTTATATATTTTCTCCCACTACCTACAGTTTAGATGGTTAAAAAACCACTACATTAAGATCACTATCCAATTAATTTTTAAATAAAAAAATAAAATTAATATCACTAAATAGATAAAATTAAAAATTTAACATTTATTTAAAAATTAACAAAATTTATATTTTCAAATAAAAAAAACAAATTCTGGGAGTGGCGACCAAAGTCCTAAACTAATTGCTTTGAGGATAGTGTGCAGGGGTGAACTATTTACCCAATATTTTTAGGACCTGTTTGCTATAGCTATTTTGAGATAATAGTTAGCGGTTTTGTTCAAACTACTAAGAATAGGTGTTTGATAAATTTATATATATTGAAACCGCTATAAATAAGGTATTTGATAAAAATTTTTATTTAGTAGTTTAGAACTAGTGGATAATAACTAGGTCCAAACTGTTAGTAGATTGGAAAAGCTAGTTTAGATAGCTTGTTTCTTTGTTAAAAATAAAAATGAGTGTGTAATTATATTATTATAATTAATTTTATTTATTGATTTATTTTCTTATTATTAATTTTAATAAAAAAATAAAAATATTTAAAAAAAATATACTTAATTTTTTTTAAACATGTCCTTATTAGTTATTTAATAATGAATAACAATCGTTAATTATTGTATAATTTAATAGTTATATTTATCGAATTCACTATTTACTATCTGCTACCCACTTTTTGCTATCTGTCATCTGCTATCCACTAACCGCTATCCACTAACCGTCACCCACTAACTGCCATCCATTACCCGCTACCATTATCTGCTATCCACTACTTTTTACCCGCTATCTGTTGAATTTTAACCACCATACCAAACAAGCCTTTAATCTATTTATTTAACTAACTTGTTATTTATAATTATAGAATTACAATTTTACTTGTATATATTACATTTAATATTTATCTAATAATAAATTAAAATAAAATAATAAAATATAAAAAATAAAAATAAAAGTTAAATAAGGCCTATAAACTAAATTAATTATATAGGTAGCAATAATGACTAATATAAATAATAAATTTTAAATTAAATACATAACATGTATAATAATAGTATCTCTTACTCAACTTTTTTTAAATTAAATATATAAGTATATATCCACAAGTTATTTAATATTTATTAAATTAAATATTAGATATAAATTTTAAATATTTAAATAAATACTTAATTTAAAAAATTATATTTATATTGTGAATTTTTCCTATTAATGGATACTTCACCTTCACATTCACCTTCTTCCATGTTGTAACTCCTCATAGTTAAGGGATATATTCTCACCATTAAAGGTTCATTCATGATCCCACTAAAGGCCTTTTAAAGGGTCATTAAGGTGTCGTTCAAGAGTCTATTAAGGTGCCATTCATTCTCTCATATAGTCCTATTTAATGGCTAATGTAACTCCTTATGTCCCTTAGCCCATATATAATCCTACAAATTTGTATGATTTGTACATGGAAGAATCACTACAAAGAGATGGTCTATACTGACGAAAGTTTTCCATTTGTATAGACCCATTTTCCGTTGGTATAAACCCCAAAGACTATTCCAACGGATTAATTTTCAGTTGGTAGAAACCTCGTCAGTATAGGGTATATACCAACGCCTAATCCGTTTGTATAGACCCTAGAATCTATTCTGATGGAAGATTTTGTCCGATGGTATATACCTTAGGATCTATTCCAATGGAATACTTATCCGTTGGTATA